TTACCAGGTGCCGCCCCAAGCATGTGCTTGGTTGCCTGGTGCCTGGAGCCGGCCCTGGTCAGCGCCTAGGAGAGAACAGGTGAGAGAGAAGGAAATTTCTAGTTCATACATCTATATCTGCACCTCTCCACACAATCTCCTTTAGGATCAGAGGGGCAGTGGATTTACATCCTCAGCAGTTACCAAAGAAAACTGAAGCTATGTCTACACTAGAGAGCTTACAGCGGCACAGCTCTACCAATGCAGATGCGCCACTGTAAGATTCCTCGTGTAGCCTCTCCATGCTGATGGGAAAGAGCTCTCCTATTGACAAAATTAAACCACCTCCAGTTGGTTTGTCAGCGGGAGAGGCAGGAGAAGCTCTCCCATTGACATAGCGCTGAGCACACTACCACTTATGCCGGCATAACTTGTGTCACTCGGAGCTGGGGGAGGGGTGTTGTTTTTTCACACACCCCTGAGTGACATAAATTTTGCTGACATAAAGTGGTAGCATAGACATGGCCTACGGAACAGTCATGACTACTGTTACCCTCGCTCTCCCTCCTCGCCCACTGTTAGTTACATTCAGTTTTTCTCTTTCACCTTATATTGGACATGTAAGCTCTTCAGGAGAGACACCATGTTTTCCTGTGTTTGTACAGACCCCACTACCTGGCCCTGATTATGGCCTCTGCATGTTTCCCTACTATAACTAAAAATAAAGAAAGAGCCAATTAAACCTTGGGGTGGAAATAGCCTTTAATGACCACTTGTGCAAACATGAAACAAAGGGAAAATTCAGGAAAGGCAAATAAAGGTTAAGATGAAGGTAAAGTGTAAATTATTGGGACTTTTACATGAGGGATCATATTTGCTTGGTTTTCTTTGAATTACAGCATTTTTTCATTTATAACTTAAATCAGTTCACTAAATAGTTTTTCCATAATAATAAAATTGCTTTCTGTACAGCAGTACAAATGGAAATAATTCAAAATTTATGTAATTGTAGCTTTCTTCAGATATTGTCTTGATAGTTTGGAATAATAAGGAACTGTAAAATATGATTTCTGTTCAAGGATCAATAAGTAGTTCTTTGCCAAACAATACATTTAATTAAGAACACAAGTAAGAGATTAATCATGATATGTCATAGTGTATTATCATCACTATTTAGGTATTTTTACTGCATATGATTTTTGCATGAATATGTTGGAGGCTAAATGAAAAAAATACTGCAGTGGTTTGGCTCATTTGTACACTAAAAACTGTAAGCCTCTAAGCAAAATGGCATATTATTCCCATTATCTATTCTTTGAAGTACAATTATTAAGGTAACCTTTGTCCAGTGTTGCAAACCTTAAAATTTAATGCACTGCCTTTAAGAAGCCTAGTTAGTTTACGTACATGTTTAAGTTTAGTTAAGTACACGTTAAAGTTCTCTATAAATGCTTGATAACAGTGAAACTAAATGTCTTTCTATGAAACTGGTAGAAAAGCAAAGTCTGTTTCAATAGGGTGCATTTAACTTAGGCACTCTGTATTTTGTGTTTTGATATATTTGTGAAGAATAATAAAATAGTAGATAAGGTTTATTTTAAATTAAAGAAACATCCATATTTCAATATTAAATATGCTGAGGTATAACATAAAGATCAGATATCCTGGTGATGAATGCCAAATAACTGCTTTAAGTACTACTGCTATTACTAATTTGTCTTTTTTGGACAATCTACAATAGGTCACCCAGTTTGAAAAAGCAACTCACACAACCTTTATAATTACACTTCTCTTCACAGAAAAGTAACCCTCAAAATGTTCTGACCAAATGATTTATAAGAATTAATTTTGGGGCAGAGGCTATATTTTGTTCTGTGTTTTTTCAGCACATTATATAATGGGGTCCTGGTGCTCATAGGCACTATAATAATAATAACAAAATGCCGTCTCCTTGCAAACTCTTTGCATTTTAGGGGTCTCAAATTTGAAATTGTTCTTCAAATCATCTGTGAGTTTGTCAGTCTAGATTATTTTTGAAATACCAAAAGTATTTGATATCTGAAACTTGAGCTGTATTGGTGAGTTTTGGCTGGAGCATATTTCATATGATATTGGTTCTGTTCCCTTATTGGATAGACAATTCTTAGAATTAAGTTTCCAGAGCAAATATCAAAATTTTCAAAATTCACCTAACATTCAGTGCTTCTGCAACCATTCCACTGAACTCTCTCACTAGAGTACTCATGGAAAGTGAATGCAAAAGTGATTTGAACACAGGAAAAGCAAATTCAATTTTTTACTTGAGAAAATTACCACCACATTTTTTCATGTACTTGCTCATCTCTAATTCTGAGGTTTGGATAAATGTACACACCCTTTGTATGCTTATCTGAAAGTAATCCAACCTCTTTGGGTTGGAAATCTCATATACTCAAGGTTTTTAGTTTGGGTGATTTTGTTTGTGAAATGTTCTAATACTTTGTGTTTTGACTGGGCCAAAAGTAATAATATTGTGTGACACTATGGTAATGCTCCCACTTCCAGCTGAAGCCACGAAGTACAGGATTGTGGGGCATAAATTAAATCATGTGATCTAACCTATAATAAGGTTTGATTTTAATTCTGAATTAGTTGTTTTATTAAAAAAAATTTCTATCCCTATTTTTCATGGGTACTCTGTTCCTATATGCTATATGATGTAATTAACTTTGTTTCATTTTAAGGGGTAGAGGCCCACTGAAGAATACATCTGATGTGATTAACGCAGCAAAGATGATTTCAGAGTCTGGATCCAAGATGGATGTGCTGGCACGACAGATTGCCAACCAGGTAAGCCATTTAAGGTTTGGTACAGAGGTGTATTGAGATTAAATCGTCCCCAGATTCAATTCAGCCAACTAAAAGGTCGCTTTGCAAAAATACTGATGGCATGTCTAGATCTGCCTTTCCTATTCTTTCTCCCATGGATCTTTGGGTCCCAGATTTTCTAGATCCTGCCTTAATCCACCCTTGAATATGTGTATTGGTTCTCTAAAAGTAAGTGCAACCCCTGTTGCTAAACTAAACAGAATGCAAAGCTTTAGCTGCATGGTAAAGCATATTTATTAAGACACCCCTCCCCCCCTTACTCATGGAAGGTGAGTAAGCAGAGACCTTGCATTACCTGTACTCCACCTCTTCACTGAGGTGATCTTCCCCAGTGAAACAGGCTTTAGGACTACATTGTGCCAGTAAGCAATGCAGTGTAATGCAACTGTACCACACAGGAGGAGCCAGTCCTTAGTCCTTATCTAGCTGAAGCATTCGATTCCCAGTACTGCCCTGTCCTGATCATCAAGCAGCAACTCTGTGGCTGTCTTACATGTCCAGGCAAACGTGCTCCGGAGTCTCTGCTCTTCTACTTTCTAACCGACCACCCATCTTTCCCTCTCTTCATGGTGTAGCACGTGTCTCTTATTTATTTATACAACATATGTAACAACAGCAGATTATTCATCTTTCTTGTCCTCTGCCACATTATTCTCAAGACTCCAGTTAAGTAAACACTTCAAGAGGTATATATTATTAGTTTGTGCACTTGTGTTCAGAGGAACAATTAAGCAGAAAGGTAGAGGAGTTATCCCTCTTTCCGGTCTTGACAGAAATTCTTTCAGCATATACATTCTTTCACCATCTGCACTACACTAGAGCACGGTTCCTTTTTTTGTCAAGATTCTCTTTAGCAACAGTAGATTGAGGTTTGGGAATGACAGTCACAGATCTGAATGGGACATCAAATCCAAAGATAAGGCTTGTAAACTGTTTTTCAGTCAAGATGTTTAATAACAGAAAACTAAGCTTTAGTTAAATATCCTTCTTTTCCACCAGTTTTGTTATAATTTCACTGACAACATTATCGTTTTATATGTAGCTTAAAACTGGGTATTAAATTAGGATGAAATTATGTACAGCAAAAGATGTGTATGGAAGGGATTTTTCCTCTATTGAACCAAAAATAAGCTTTAAATAACATTAATTTGTTTTCCCTATTTTCTTTACAACAAAACTCTAAATGCTGTATACTCCTCTGGAACACAATTTTTCAAATAATTGTTCAAAAATATTATTATTAGCATGAATTTATGAACACGTACTTCTCCCAGCTATGCTTCTATTCACCACATCCTATCCAGTTGAGAAAGCTGCAGCCTGAACTGAGAATAACTAAATCATTTTTATTTGTTGTCACATCTAATGTTGTCATTTAGTTGGACCACATCAGTTTGCTATTCACTATCTTCCCGTAGCCCAAATCTATTAGTCTGACTGCCTTTGCAGTTAAGAGAACAACAGTAGCGTAGGATAGAGTTTTCCGTATACAAACCTCTACTTTATTTCCTTCATTTAGCTTCAAAAGTGAGAGAGAAGCTGAAATAAGCTATTGCTGTGTAATGAGGAATCATTGCTTTGCTCTTTGACCTTTTGCAGTTAATAAAGAACAGTAGTTTCAAATGAATGATTTTGGTTCAGGCTGCACACAGTTTCAGAGAATCAAAATTGAGTATTGTGAAACTGTTTTAGTTCATGTAGTTTTTCAGCTGGAAAAATTTCCCATGAATTACATTAAGTGAATCTTACAGGTTCTCCATTTGACAATACCTTTGGTTCCTCACTTTAAAAAACTACACTTTTTGTTCTTATTCTTTTTAAATAAATGTGACAGTACTGTACAATTAGCATAATTCAGTCACATTGCAACCCATTTTTATTAAGATGACTCCGATTTAACTACTCTGAACATATTCAACAGAGCAACAATGTAAACACACATTAGTCACAAAGAAATAATTAGCAAACTTAATTAACATAAGATTGTTCTGAACCACTTGTCTAAAATCACTTGTCTAATTTGTGACCTGAAAGTCATATGGCAACATAGTCAGTACATCTCCTTTTTATTGAATGTGCTAGAGATTAAAGTTGTCATTGAAGATGCCACAATATTGTATAAAATTCAAATTTAAATAATTGTTGTGCTCTAGAAATCAAAGAATTAAGGCCAAACATTATATTAATAGTTAGGAAATCTCCTCATCAAGATACAAATGCCACGCATATAAAAAAAACCAGTCCTAAAAGTAAGGTTAACAATAAATTCTTTAAAATGATTATCTGATAAGAGACAATCAGAAATGTTAAATGTTACGTTAAACAACTATTTAAAATTTATGTACATCTACTGAGAACACACTGCAAACTACTATTGTGATACAAGGCATTTATCATCACTAAGCTCAGCTCAAGTGCAAAGGAAGTGACATTTATTTCTTTGGTAAAGTAGTAAAATCAAAACCCAATAAATGTATGGTCAAAGTTTCCTGCAGAATAACTTGTATTGATCTTTTGTGCTACTGTTCTGCCAGCGGCTAATGGAAATACTTTTTCACCTTGATTTTCAATATAGGTTTCACTGTATTCACAACTATTGCATCACTTATCAAACCATTTTGAGGATCTTACACAGATATTATTTCTGTAAAGCTCCTCCACTCCCTGCCAACCTTCTAGTTGAATTTATGATCCCATTGGCTTCAATAGGTACAGAATCAAACCCTTTTGTTTGCAGTGTTGTTGTAGCCATGTTGGTCCCAGGATATTAGAGAGACAAGCGGGGTGAGGTAATATATTTTACTGGACCAACTTCTGTTGGTGAAAGCGACAAGCTTTCAAGCTACACAGAGCTCTTATTCTTGTCTCTCTAATCAAATGGGTTGTAATTTGCCACTGTATCTAACTGAAACTTATTTCTCAGTGTGAGAAATTAAACTGGTAACTATCAGTTGTTTTCTGGGATGATAAATGCTAGAAATATTATAATTACCATACTGAACAGACCATTGGTCCATCTGGTCTCATATTTAATAGTGGCCAGTACTATATGCTTCAGAGGGATGTGTAGGAAACCCCTAATGGAATAACCTGCCCAGAAAGGAATTTTCTTTCTAAAGTGTTAATAATCAGCTACTTAATCCCCGAGCATGAGGGTTTATATCCCTTGTATTATTTTATCATGTTTAATGTAATTCAGATTACCTATATAAATGTCTCTTCATTTTTTGAATGCCATTAAGCTCTTGGCTCAGTCATATCATTTAGTAATGAGTTCCACAGGTTTGAGCTGTGGAAAATATTTGTCACTTTTGGATGTATTGCCTTAGTTTCATTGGCTACTCCCTTTTTAATTCTATTATGAGAAAAGGTTAATGGCCTTCTCCATGACATTCATTATTGTATAGATCTCTATCATACCCCATACCTATTCATCTTCTCACTGAACAGACCTAATGTTTCCAATCTCTCCTTATATGGAAGTTTTCCATGCTTCTCATCATATATGTTGCTTATCTCTGGAATCTTTCTATTTGATATATTGTTTTCAGATGGGATGAGCAAAGCAGAACACTCAAGGTGAAATCTTAACAACAAATAATATAATGGCATTATAATATTCTCAGTAGTATTTTCTAACCTGTCATAAAAATTTTTTATTTGACCTCCATGGCACACTTAGCAGAGCTTTCCACTGAGTTGTCCACAGTGAGACCCTGGCCTTTTTTCAGAGTGGTTACAGTTACTTTAGAACCCAGTAATATGTATCAGTAATTAAAATTATTCCTTCAGATGTGTATTGGTCAACACTGACATCATTCTATCAATTTTCCTAGCTTCGTTATGTCTCTGGAGTTTATAATACTCTTCTCTAATCTTATCTATCCTAATAATATTGTGCCATCTGCAAATTTTGCCACCTCACTGTTCATCCTATCTAAACATACATTGAATTTTAAATACCATTGCCTCTGCGCTGGAGACTTATATGATCAATTTTACAGCTATTTGAAGTCAATGAGAAATTACACAAAGTCCTATCTGCCCATTTCTGGGATCTGCCCAAGTGGAAATAAATATCACAGGTCATTTTACAAAAAACTGTAGAGGACTGAATAGATGATTCCAGTCAACATATTTCATCTCCATACAGTTAGTCCTGGTGCTTACAGCTGTTTATGACTGGAAGGACAGATTTTATGGAACTGCAATTACAGAAATAAACAATGTTTACACAAGCCGCCTACACTGTACTGTGATAACGGTGTTAAACTCATTAATTACAAAGTGCATTGAGGCCAAAAAGCAGTACCAAATTTGCTTTTTTTTCAGATCTAGGAGGAAGTACGGAATCTCTCAGGTTTACAAGCCAGTGATTCACTTTTTTAACCTGTGATTGTTCCTGGCTTTCTTTTTCTAAATCTCAAACATGCAGTTTTTTAGTTCATAAATAGAATGTTAAATTATACTCTATAATAATGTGGAGTGAATCCTGGCCTCACTAGGACAAGTACCAATGACTTTAAAAGGACCAGGGTTTTCCCCAAGGTATCTCATGAATTAAGCAGTCTGATGCTCCTTCATAGTGTTACCTATTGTGGATTTTATATCAAAGGATCTTTGTGTATAACATGCATCACTGTGCAAGACAACACTGGAGTCATTTCTCTTCAACAGCAGAAACCTGGATGGGCCTTATGCTCTATTGACCCTGACACTATCAACAAGGAGTCTGGTGGCACCTTAAAGACTAACAGATTTATTTGGGCATAAGCTTTCGTGGGTAAAAACCTCACTTCTTCAGATGCAACCGAAGAAGTGAGGTTTTTACCCACGAAAGCTTATGCCCAAATAAATCTGTTAGTCTTTAAGGTGCCACCAGACTCCTTGTTGTTTTTGTAGATACAGACTAACACAGCTACCCCCTGATACTTGACACTATCAGTATTTTCTAACAGTAAGCATAAAGATGCACTCGCCATGAACAGCAAAAGATCAGGCCTGCCACAATTGGTTGAAGTGTATCTTTTTAAAAAAAAATATACTAGTATTGACACAATGTTCCATCAAAAGAAACTGACTACATTTTCATGGTATCTACAGTAAAAAAACCTATAAATAAATCTCTCAAAGACTGTATTGGCCTTTACAGTACCGCTCTGGCAATGTATAGGGATTCAATACCCCTTTAAGACCCCTTTAGACTGCCACAGCAGTGAATAGTAGCCTTAGTGTAAATGAGAATCCGGTACTATGTGAATAGTCTGTTCATCGGAGAGAGATTTCCCTCAAAGCTTTCTTCATCACTCCTCTGAAGTCATGAGAGAGTAAAGAGAAGATTTCATAGAAAGTATGAGCATCACCATAAAAAACAGAGACTTTACCATGAGATATTGTTCACAACTATGACCTACTCCTTCTCCAACCAATGTCAATGGGAATGTTGTTGTTGCCTTGAGTGGCATCAGGATAGAGGCCATAACCTAGAGTCACTTATAGTATAACCATCTATTAATGTGGGTTTCCATTGTTATTAGTCCATGTAGCTTGCAAAGTAAATGGTAAGTAATACTGCAAAAATGAATGCAGAGCCTCTTAGGTGCTGAAGGAAAGTAGTAATTTCATGCACTAGTGAAAGCTACTCAGCTAGAACTATGGCTAAGGCAATTCCAGTAGTCTTGAATTAAGGATGGGTGAATGCAATGAAGTCTGGGATTACTGCGCACATCTTTGTTTGTAGAGTTTAAAAGGTTCACAAAATTAGCAAATAACCAAACTTTAGAGCAGTGGAGAGCAAGACTACATTAGAGAGCAATTACAATGAACATTCCTAAAGGGAACATGAATCTGATAAAAGTCTGGGTCTAAATTTTGAATGCATGTTTGAAATACGTTCACTCATTTGGACATTAACACACTATGTTGGAGAGCTGAGAGTTTAGAAAAGATTAAATCTTAAACTTAATAATTGAAAATTGAAGTGATTAAGAATTTGTAGAAAGTGTTTTATTCATTATTCTTTTTAATATGTAGTGTCCTGACCAATCATGTAAACAGGATGTATTGGCTTACCTGGAACAGATCAAGCTCTATTGTCACCAGCTCAAAATCTGCAGTCAAGTTAAAGCAGAAATCCAGAATCTCAGTGGAGAGCTCATCGTGTCTGCTGTAAGTAAAGAGTCCAGAAGCTATTTTCTGTGCTAGGTACAACTATAGATTTCAAAATTTTGAGCGAATTTGTAGCATTTGTGAAATGTACTCATATCGGCCTCTGGTCCTTATTATATTCCTCACTGGTTTATATCTTGTGTTGTCATTTATACCCGAGCAAAGTGAGTACAAGTCACTATCAAATCAGAAAGAAAACATTTTACACCTCACAGATGATGCAAGGCAGTGGAGAATCAGGCCCGGTATCTTTAAAGCTATCAAGTGGTCTGATTCTTCATTCTGTTACACTGAAGTAACTAAGTTAACTCCAACAGAGAGACACGGATCTAAAATTGGTTTAGAATATCAGACCCATCTTGAGGTAATGTGTGTTTACCCAATGCTGCATCTTTCTCATCCCGTGGATTTCTTTCTATATATTTTCACTTTTTGATTTGAGAGCTGTTGTTCCCAGCTCATAATTAATTGACTGGGGAGGTTCTAGTCAGGCTGTTGCAATGTGAGCGTAAGAGAGCCAAACAAAACAAAACAAATCCCTGAGAACAAGGGAAGTTGGTGCTTAATTAGATTTATGGACCTGCATTAGCCTGGGGACATCAGGTTAGGGTAGATAACTACAATTTAGCCATTGCTAAGATTTTGAGCACCAATTAGTAGAATTTCTGTCCTCCTGCAAGAGAGTAACTCATCTAGCAGAATAGTCTGGTCCTGAGTATTCAGATTATTCCATCAGTGAAGAAACAACCTTTTTCATTGTGCTATTATTATTTGTGCTGAGGTAGTGCCTAGGAGCAAGGATCTGTCATGGACCTGTGCGCAGTGCTGTACAAACACATAACAAAAATGGTTCCTGCCCCAAAGAACTTACAATCTAAGTAATACTTATTCCTATCTGATATCTCCATGTTCACAAATGCTTGAAGTTATATGAACAAATACATATTAGAATGTAACTACAAAGGTATACAAACAATAATTACTAGAATGCAACAACGATTTTCTCTATGGTCTCCATGCACGCACCAGTTACATTTTCAGGGACTGAAGTATTTTGTTTTTTAAACATGGACCTGTTTTTTTTTTTGGTCTTATAATCTATCTAGATGTTACATGAATCTTCTTCTGCTTAGACAAGACTTAAATTGGATCATTTTTGTAGTTTATCCTGAAGGTCATATTGGATGAGAATTTGATGACTATATTTAAATCTTTGGAGACTGCAGAAATGTAATCCTGCATGCTGTGGTAGTTTTTTCTTTGAAAAAAATGTTGGATTTTAATTAGGTTGTAAATTAATGAAATTGTGTTTTATTTTTCATTTTCTTCTTTCTTTTTAAAAATGGTGCCTTATATCACATCACATTTACTACATAATTTGCATTTCTGAATGCTGTGGCCAGTGATGGATTTGTGACAATTTGCAAAGCAATATTGTCTTTGAAAGGTAGAATTCTGCATTTTTGATTAAATTTTCTGGTCTTGTCTCCTCTACCCATCATTTCATTGGGTGCTCTCATCAGGAAAGTCAATCCCCTCCCCCCCCATCCTTCCAGTTGTAATATAAATATCAAGTGATATTAAATAATACTATATTTATTGGGTTTCCTTCTATTGACACTTGCTGTTCTTCATCAACATTCTAAAATGCAAAATAAACAACAAAAAATTATATTAAAAACAAACCCAACTTAACTCATGAATCCAAGAGAAAAAACAGGTTCAATCCTTTTCCTATTAATTTGAGTGCAGCTTTATTACATCCCAGAAGCCCTGGTTCAGCAAAGCACTTAATTACATGCATTAATCTAGCCCTAGCTGGTAAGGGCATGTGCCTACCTGCTTTGCTGCATCAGGGCCAAGGGCTGTGAAATCCTAGCTGCTATTCTACTAAAGGATTAAATCCCTGCAAATGCTCATGAAGTATTTTGTTAAATGCAGATGTGTTCGTCTCTGTCCAAAAACAAAGAAAGGCAGCCCCTGCCCTGAGAAATTGACAATATAAAGTCCTGATCCAAACCCCACTGAAGTCAATGGAAAGACTTCCATTCTCTTCAAGGGGGTTATGATCTGATCCTAAGGGACTATATACCTATCAGTACTTAATAATGGTTATAGCTCGTCCTTACTGTTGTGAGAGTATAAAAGTACAAAATGCCCTGGCACAGCACAGGTGGCGTGTAAGCTTAAAACTTAATAATTTTTCCCATTGTCATTTCCTCCCCAATTATTATTGTTGGGGTGGAGAGAGCATTTGAAACAGGCTGTGCTCAACTATCATTTTCAAGTAAAAATGGAGCACCAAATCCAATTTGCTGTCTTATATTAGTAGTTCCAATGTATGTGTAACTGAAGACTCTTTGGATCCAGTGTTTAAAAGTGACTGCAGGGACTCATTTCATCTAGAGGGGAATATGAGAACTTGAAATACGTCAGATGGGGAAGGCTCTAAAGCAAGCAGGGCTGTTAATAAATTGAGAGGGAGACAAAATCAATGACTGTTCAAAAATGGCTGAGCTACTGCGCTGGGGTTTTTTTAAACAGTGGTTAAAAAAATTTGAACCAAATCCTGCCTTTGCAAGCGGGCCTCCTGGTATTAGAATTGCTGGGGTTTTACTGTACAAAGATCTGGGTGTGGAAATACCTGAGTACTATCTAATCTGTTTAAGAATGAGAAGTGGAAAAGGAGACATGGTCAGCAACACTCCATATTTTATCTAAGGACACCTCAGTTTACCTACCAGACTAACATAAGGATTATCTTAGTTTATGGCAATACTGTGTCTGAGGAGGTGCTGGTGAGTGTGGTGGAGTTCTGGCATCATTCCCTTCATATGTTAGAGTATCATCAATACTTGATTACTTACTTACTGAGGCATCTGAGAACACAGACAGATATACATTACTCTCACTAGCACATCTTACAGCAAAAGAAAAAAAAAGGCAAGTAAGTATTTTGAGGCGATCTCTCCTATGCCACTGGCTTCCCCTCTGTATGCAACTTTCCTGTGGCCATGACTGCACCATAAACTTTGGTTGATGCACATTACGTCAGCATAAAGCCACCACTAAATAGTGTATCATTTGTGCATGTGTATACTTGGCTCTTTGCATTGGTGCTGTATATGCTCACCAGAAGTGCTTGTGTTGATGCACAGTGTTGTGCACCATGGGTAGGTATCTCAGTGTGCAAACCACCACCGTCCAGTGCACTGATTTTTGGGAAGTTTTTGGCAATGAATGGTGGGGCAGAAATGAGTCACTCATGGGTGACTGGGAGCAAGGGCTCAACTTTCCAGCATGTAACTGTCTCCATCCCATAATGTCATCTATATCCCATAATGTTTGTGCCTTTTTTAGAAATCCACACGAACCCATGTGGCCCTCCTCACTGTTCATCCAGAAGCATGGAGCCTGCCCAGCTCTACACTATTGTCATATGCATTGCAATTAGAGGACGGGCAATCCTCTGGTATTTGGAGAGCTGTAAGAAAAACCAAATCAATGTCAACCATGCTGATTTCTTGCAGGACAGATTGCTATGGGACATAGTGAGAACCAATTCAAGGTTGTTGGTGGCATTCACTGAGCAGCTTCAGATGGTGGAGCACCACTTCTGGGCCTGAGAAATGAGCACTGAGTGGTGGGATTGCATCATAATGCTGGTTTGGGATGATGAGCAGTGTCTGCAGAATTTTTGGATGCACAATGTCACATTTCCGGATCTGTGTGTCAACCTCATCCCAGCCCTCCAGTGTAAATGTAACACCAACAGACCCAGGTCATCAGTGGGCAGGATTGAACCTGGAATCTCTGGAGCTTAGTGCATGAGCCTCTATTGCATGAGCTAAAAGCCAACTGCCTGTTAGCTAAGGTTGTAGAGCAGACTCATTTTAGCTCTCTAAGTGGTCTCAGTTCCACTAGATGGGACAGAAACCACACCCAGAAGGTGTGTGTGTTACACAAGGACATCAAAAAGAGAGCAGCACTTGTGACGCCAGATAGCTACCAGTCAGTGGGAAATCATTTTGGCATTGGAAAATTTGTTCTGGGGGCTGTTGTCATGCAAGTGTGAAGGGCCGTTAATCATCTCATGCTGTGCAGGGCTCTGACTCTCAGCAATATGAAGGATATAGTGGATGGATTTGCAGCAGTGGGGTTCCTGAACTGCAGTGGAGTGATAGCTGGCACGTACATCCCTCTTTTGGCACCAGATCACCTTGCCACAGAGTACAGCAACAGAAAGGGCTATTTTCTATGGTTATGCAAGCATTCGTGAATCACTGGGAATGCCTCACCAACATCAGTGTTGGCTGTTCAGGGATGGTGCACGATGCTCGCATCTCTAAGAACACAGGACTGTCCAGAAAGCTACAAGCAGGCACTTTCTTTCCTGTACCATAGTTTGTCATTGGTGATGTTAAAATGCCAACAGTGGCCCTGGGGGACGCAGCCTGCCCCTGGCTCATGAAGTCATACACTGGCTACCTCGACTCAACCAAGGAAAGATTAGCTACCAGATCAGCAGGTGCAAAATGACAGTTGAATGTGCATTTGGCAGATTGAAGGAATGCTGGCATTGTTTACTCACAGGATTCGATCTCTGTGAAAAAATATCCCAATGGTTATGGCTGTCTGCTGTGTCCTGCATAATATCTGAGAACAAAAGGGGAAAAGTTGCTGCTGAGGTGAAGTGGCTGTCTGCTGTATCTGAACAGCCAAACACAAAGGCTATAAGAAGAGCTCCCCTAAAGTTTTAAACAATACATGCTCATTGGCATCTCTGCTTGGGATTGCTCATACACGGTGCCACAGCAGCCATGGTGAATACAGCTCACCAGGGTGAGGGAAATTGCTTGGTTGCATGCAACTATGAATATAGAGCAATGGTACTGAATACTGGCACCATTTTCCACAGGCGGCGGTGATTTTCTGTAATCTCTCACTCCAGAGGGTAACAAACGCAGAGAGAGCAAAGCTGCTTCCAGCTTCCCAAAGGC